TCTTGTTTGGATGGGCAAATTCCCTTATAGAAGGAAATTGTAAAGCTGTATGAGGTGAGCACAAAAAGAACTCTACTTAACTACAAAGAATGTTAAGTACAATTCTCAACTCAAAAGTAGTGATTTACCGATTTAGGAGTTGGGTGGCTTCTGGAAGTTAACTTGGATTGCAGATTGTTGTACACTTTGGTTTCTTGGTTGGTTAACATGTGTGAGGTGGGGGTGTCAAATGACAAACATGTTGAAACATGTAGGGTGGTATACGTTTTTTTTTTTCGGTTTCGGATGAGGCGTTGAGGCGTGAGCTCAGAAAAGGAGTGAGCATGGGTCTAGCTAAATCAAGGTTTAGAGCAAAGGCACGCAAGATGATTCCATGCTCCGGAACTGCACCACGTATGAGAATAGATAGGGGTTGGACATGCACGGGTTTTTCCAGGACTTTATCCGCATACATCGCCGGGGGCATGAGGGGCAATGGGGAATACCTCTCAAAGGGGTCAAGGCCTCAGGTCGAATGTTCATGGGGCTTTGACGTGGACCGGAGGCCTGAAATAAAATCCTTGGGGCCTCAGCACCTTAAATTTGGGCATGCCTCCTCAAACGCTGTCGTCGTCGCCAGCCCTCGCCTCCCACTATCACAGCGGTCGGCTCAGGCTTTGTCGTCGTCAGCCCTCGCCTCCCACTATCACAGCGGTCGGCTCAGGTTTTGTCGTCGTCAGCCCTCACCTCCCACTATCACAGCGGTCGGCTCAGACTTTGTCGTCTTTGTTGTCAAATAAGCCTCCCAGTATGACAGCGGGAAGATGCCCAGCGCACCGAAATTAATCCTGTCGGCCGAACCACAAAACTGATCAACTACTTACATTAGATTCCCTGGGCTCACCTTTCCACAGGGGCCAGCAACACACACGAAATGAAATCCTGCAAGCAGGCACAGGGACCCGAAAATTAAATCCTGGATCAAGACTTGATGAACATGAAATTTGAGGCTTGAGCCCCTGGATTTCATTTTACTGCATCCGACCCCTCTAGAACAGGGGTACCGTCTTCCGAGTATGCAGATGATTGGTGCAGGATCCCTTTGCAGAATTCCTGTGACAAACGCAGGACCTAGCCCTGACTCCATCTGTCCATAACCCACAACAGCGAACCATTAGACGACAGAGCTCTCAAAACATCAGCTTACTTATCCCCGCCTGAAGGGCAACATGCCATGCATGTAAGTCTTGACTCACAAGCTCCGCTGAACCATGAACAAAAAACAAACTTCTCCATTCTCTTCTTGGCATAGTTCCGTTAGGACGACACGAACTGTGAACCCCAGAACCTAAACAAACATCCCCGCGCCTACGTAGCGCTTCTCATCTGCCAGCCATATCCGGGACCCAGCATCGGGACGCCGATGTTCGTGGGTCATACCTTGCCAGGAGCGTCCCCATCGCTGAAGACACGTATCTCTCCCGGCCAAGTAATGATCATCTTTCTCTGCATCAGCAAGTGTGAATGTTCGGGGTCCTGTGGTGTTCGAGTGGTGTTTAAAGGCCATGCGCATTTGATCTTCTGACGGCTTGATACAGTGTCTTATTGCGGGCGACTTACCTCCTGCTTCAACTGCATGTCCACTTCACCTCACGAGTCCCAATGACATCGACCGCTCAACCCGAAACCCGCTCGAATCTCATGAAGCTCCCCACAACCGAAACTCCCACCAAGGCAGAATGTCTATGTAGTTACCATACTCTCCCCGCAAGCCTGCAACATGAAGGGTTCAGCTATGTTGCCCAGAGCATGGCCCAACTCGTGCACCATATTGCCAAGGTTTCGCTGGGAGTTACAAGACCTGGTGGGGGACCCCTGAATGCGACCTTTGGGCATCGGTTTTTGGGATTTATAGTTGTTTCTATGTTCTTTGCCATTATCTATATAACCCCCATATACTATAGGGTCTTGGGGGCTTTGGGATCTTTGGGCGTTGAGGTTTTTGGGACGGGGATTTGGGCCAAGGGTTGGGGTCTTTGGGCTGTCGCTACCGTCTTTGGCCAAAATGCCGCGCAACGGCTGCATGAGTGTGTTTGCTAGGCTTAGGGATTGCCCAGCTGGGGTTATATAATGTAACTTTATCATTTTCTACTCCTGGAACATCATCGCTTTGTATACTCCTTATGGTTGTACAGGTGAAATGCTATCTCGTGACACTCGCGACATAACGTAAAGAAGCCGGGTTGTTATACAAATCCAGTTGGGATGCGAGACTCTCTGAGAACAGCACCGCTGTAGCTGTTAACTTCAACTTCTGTACACGGACAGCCTCAGAATTTATCTTCAACAAGGGAATCAAGCAAGTCGTGCCAGGTCCCTGTGGCACGGCAATTGGGCCAGAAGCTGCTCAAATCCGTGCGATTGTTGGAACAAGGATGCTACTATTGTACATGAGCTATAGTCTAAACTCCTAGTATACCCATTGATAACCCCTATAGTAGTCCCCTATATAATCCCCTATATTGAGTTTAGACTATGGCTCACATAATTTAAGGACATCTTGAGTCCATCAGGGGAAGCTCGCTTCATCTGGGGCCATGAGGTCGACCTTGCCTGTCCCACGGCTGATATGGACTGTCACGATCCCCTTGACAGTCCTACTAACCTTAATGCTAATAAGATCTGCATCCTAAAATATCACTATTCAAACCAAGGACTCATTTGCAAGAGTCCAACTAAACAGGGAACCTTACCAAATCGAAGTTTCACTATTTATATTCGTACACATATCTACTACATTATGTTTTAGAGAGATTTCCCCTGTTTAGCTTTCTCCGGTTTGCCACACACAACCAATCATTCACTCAGAAAAGCATTCCGCTTTGCGGTGGATTTGGGGCTTCTACAATTCAAGTCACGTAAACCCTCATCAGTAAAGTTCCTAAATACCAGGCATGGTAGTTTCCATTTTCTTTTCCATTATTACTCCAATAGTAGTTTTCATTTTCTTTTCCATTACCCCAATATTACCCCAGTAGTTGTTTCAATTTTCTTTCCCATGACCCCTATAAATCTCACTCAATTTCTCAAAGCTTGCAGGTCAAGGCGCCCCAAGTTGACTTTGGTTTCGCCAGATGGCCCGGGGTATCCAATTTCGGAATAGCACGTTGAAAAGTCCTTTTGGAAGGGCGTAAAGGGGTCCCCAGAAACACGCACCTCAGGACTTGAGGGACATCCCGGCAACTAAGGATCTAAAGAGATCCCGGGAACTGCAAAAAATGCTGGGTCACTCTTACGCAAAATCCTGTCCTAAGGCTGGGGCAATCACGCGAAAACACAAGTGTAAAAACACGCAATGCCTCTAGTCCCGCAGAGGTGCTTCACGTGGGGTGGGGTTTCGGATTGCTGGCTTGCAAGGCTTCAAATCACTGGGATGTCAAAGATGCATCCTGACATGGGTCCCGGATTCATATCAGCCTGGAGTGAGGATGTCTTATGCTAGTAGATGCTTACATGCCTACGAAATTCCTTGTAGAGTCCCACATATGCAGCAATCTGACTGCTCAGGTCCTCAAGGACAACCCGAATGCGAGGCTTGTTTCCGCCTTGGCAAGAGGGAGGTTTTTTCAACAAATTGGGTCTAGTATATTGTAATACAGTAAGGGCCCGTGGGGCGAGATCAGCGCTTTGCAGCGTTGGGTACTATGACAAATGGAAGGTCTGGCCACTGAGGTCGCAGAATGGCTTTCTGATACATACCGACATCTTATCCTACCCTGGCTATGGAGGCAGTTGGCTCGTTCTGCAGGATCTTCACCTTCTTGGGGACTTTTGCATGTACACTGGCGGCAAGAATCTGGTTGCTCATGACATGAATCTGCTTCAGGGTGCAGCACGGTGGTAGCTTTTGATGTGGCCTTCCCAACAAAACCCTGCTTTTCAGGCCTTGTTTGTGCGGATGGACCCAAGCTTGTAGCAGACTATACATACGCCCTACAGTGTTACAACATGTGACGGAGGTTTCCATGGAATAGGGATTCCTCCATAGCAAGTCCCGCAATACGGATATAGTATTTTGGGGTAAAACTGATGGACGCGCCCATCTTTGGAAATGTTCCCATGTACAAACATATTCACAGCAAGCCGCCCAGCTGAAAACGGATGCACGTGTCGTCCTTGCGCAGCAATGTTTCAGGCTTTCTAGGATTCTGCAGAGACAAGGAAGGCTGGAACTTGTCACACCGAACTGAACTGATCGTGCGACTGGCTTTCTTGGGTTGGGTTTGAAAAGTATACGACAGAAATTGCTCGGGTTTATGCATTACCTGAACGTGTAGGGTAGCCAGTTATTTGCAAAAAAAACCAAGCTAAGCGAGCTCGCGAGACATCCGCTTGAAGAACCAGAGATGACTTAAGTATGTTACGAGTGAGGAGAGTTCAGTTATTCTTGTGAGATTGACGGTCGCAGCATGAGATATTAGATCTTAAGGCTGCGAAGATCCCAACAGCCTTTCCCTCCATAACCGAACCTCAGTGGATCCAGACTAAGCAGCCGACTGCTTGGGCATCCCGTCTGGTCTGGGGATTCGGATCCCTCAAGCACGCCTGGAACTTTGCATTGGCTCCTCTTTCGCAAAACCTGTAGCCTTTCCAGGGCCTGTTTGTGGGGTTCCATCTTTGTTGGGGGGGAGCCTGCTGTCTAGTGTTTGCACTTGCGCCAGCAAAAGCCCTGAGGAAACCAAATATAGCCGCAATGGCCGTAGGACAACTTAGAATTGGTTCTGCCGTCTCCAAGGCCTGAGGCCAACGCGACTCAAAACCTTTCAACCCCAGACCTCCTAAACCCCTCAACCTTGCCTTCAAACCTCGCATGCTTTTTGGTTGTGAAGGTCTATACCCTACACCCTAAACCTAGTTTTACTATGATACACCACAATGGGGAGTATTCAATATTCGGGGGTGGGGGGGTTTAACATCAGGGGGGAGGAAATTACCCCACACCCTAAACCCTTGTCGCGCGCCTCCCATGCCTTTGTCGCTTGCGTGAAGGCGTCTCGGCGCACGCGGTCCACATTCTCGTCGAAGACATAGGGTATATTGAAGGTACCTGGTCAATTCGTACGACTATGGATCCTTGTTTGTTTGGGGGCTAGATGGATTTGGCCCTCACGAACGAAGGAATTCTAAACTTGCCCGGAGAGCCCACAACAGCACTAGCAAAAGAAAATCCAAACTGCCCACGCAGGAGCTTCAAGTAACTAGAAGGGTTTTCAGTAGATCCTGGGCAGTATAGTAGCATCACGTGAGAACTCACCAGGTTCGCGTAAACAATTGCCGTCTGTTAACAAAGGGAGACAAATCAACTTTTGGGGTATAGGAAGACTTACTGCTGCCAACCTCTTCCTGCTCTCTTCGCATCGCCTGTGCCATTGTTGTTCTGCTTAACATAGCCTCTACGAATACATGAGCCATAGTCTGAAGTCCTAGTATCCTCCTTGATAACCCCTATAATACTCCCCTATACTATAACCCCCTCTAAGGAGTCTATTCTACAACTCAAATAAGACGTCATGCCTCACATGTGTGCTCCGGAGCCTTCTGAGGTCTGCGTCAACCAAGGACTGCCAGAAGCGCATGCCTGCCATAAAAGCCATGGTCTAAAGTCCTAGTATCCCCCTCAGTGACCCTTACAATGCTGAGCTATATTACTTTTTGGTGGTTAGTAATTAATGAGGTAATATGGATACATGTAGGGATTTATTATATAGATATACATACGTGTGGGTTCTATCACCTACTCACCACCAGCAGGTTTAGGGTTTTATTGCTTACTGGCGGTTAGCAGGGAAAATTTTATATAGGGTTTATGTAGGGGTTTCAGTTTGGGGGTTCTCAAGGGATTTCGATGGGCTTGGAATAAGCCCTATGTTGCACCCGATTCCTAGAGATATGGGAAAGTAGCTTCAATCTTCTGGTGTCCATGTTCCAGCTTCTTGGCCTTCTTCGTAGCACTCCTACACCCATCTGCCCACAAACCTGGAATGTGACCAATGTAGGGGTCTAGAAACAACTAGTGTAGACGTTTGGGGTGAAACGTGTATTCAAGCAAGATGGAGGGGATAGCTGTTACTGTAGAGCCTGTGCGATATCTCTACATCGGATTCTTGATGGGGCTTTCCAGGCTGGGGCGAGCAACTATGGGATGGACTCTTGAAAAGAACCTCTGGCAAGGTTGGATCAGAGTTATCAGGGTAACAGCTTCACAGGTTCCTTCCATTTTGAAACATGTGGGGGTTGGAAGCGCAGCAAAACCAATAGTGAGACTGCCACCATCCAAGAATCCCAAAAGTTATGCATGTCCCACCGACGCCTTCGGAAAGCATGGCGTCCAGGCATCCCTGCATGCAGAATCTTTCAGGCTGCAGAGTCTGGGTTGTAGGATGTCAAGGATCACAGGTTGAAGGACTCCGGGTTTAGGAGCTGCTTGAAATGTAGGAACCAGCAGCAGGTGAAGTGGGTCTGTTGCGGTGCGTATCACATAAGGCTTGCACGAGGTGAAGTGAGGATTGCTTGAGAATTCAAGTGGACCAAATTCTCCCATTCTCCCAAAATGCAGCAATGCACCTTAAGAGGTGCATGATGTTGGGCATTCATCGCTTCTCAGGCAATTTTGGACTTGCGGACAGCCTATTTGAAGGGCATGCTTAGTACCAGTCCTGAGCGGGACATACCATATGCTCCTTATCTGGATCCTGGGATTGACGGGCAAGCCCTCGATTCATAATGCAAAATGGCCTGTCCGTGCATAATCCACAGGTAAACGGGCAGGATGACTTCACCTCGCGAGACGACAAAAGGAGGCGCGGTTCAGATGGCTCAAAAAGTTTTAAGGGCATTCTAATTGGGATTGACTGGGCTCCAGTTTTTCGTAGGTTGGAAGAGGCGCCCTTCCATGTAGAAACCATAATATAGGAACCCAAATTGTCAAAAAGGGTTCCACACGGTAACCAATGTGGAATCTTAAGGTAGGCCTAAACGGATCGAGCTTGAGGCGCGCAAAAGTTTTGAGCGGTTCCTGGTTGGGGCACCCTCTGGAAGTACGGTTTTCTTCTTCTTCCTCTCAACATCATGTTCTGGCGTGCTTCATCATTCGCCAAATGTGCCCAACAAGTACTCATCTGAACTTGAGTGATTGGCATCTTTGGCGATGAAACCATTTGGGTGTGGTTAGGTTCTTTCGTTCTGCGGCCCCTTAAGGATATGATTGTTCCAGCTGCCGGGAGACCCGAACCAAATGTACAAACCTTAGCAATGCAAAACGTTGTGCTGGAATGACAACCTCCACATCCTTAAGCTATTGGATTCTATTACCCGCAGCCCGAGTTGAACGCTTCAGGTTGCCACACGCCCTTGTTACACCCTGAACCTCTGCAGGTCTTCGACCTTGAAATCAACAAGCTGGCGGAGCTTGCCTTGCTCCCGAGAGCATCGGGCCTATTGCAAAGAATCCTCGGCACTTCTTTGGGCTGCTCAAAGGTCAGGGTATAAGGTCTGTGTGGGGGCAACTTCAATGTTTGCATCAGCTGCACTTTGTTTGCGTGGTAAGGCCGGGGCGGCCAGCATCATGAGCATCAGCTGCACTTTGTTTGCGGGGGTAAGTCATGAGCATCAGCTGCACTTCGTTTGCGGGGCTAAGGCCGGGGCGGCCAGCATCATGA